AATAATAAGAGTCTATGGGGTAAAGGGTGACCTCTATGGGAGCACTTCATCCCGAAACCCATCTTTATTAAACACCAATAAAGCTCAATACTTTTAAACTGAAATTATCACTGTAATGAGGGTAATAACCTCACAGTTATTAATTATTTACAAAACCTCTGCAAACCTGCTACCTGGTTTATTATTATTGTATAATTTCATTGTCAAACTTTACAAAGTCATTATTTGGAGTTACTGTTTAAACCTTAGTTCTCACTGCAATACCTTTGTAATCTGATACATGTGCCAGAGCTACTTGTATTTCAAGGAACACATATCTACTTGTCTCATTCCATAGAGAGAAGGATAAACCAGGGAAGGGTGGGAGAGAAATTTTGGTTCTGCGAATGAGAAAGTGTAAGAATTGTGTTGTGCACGGCTGAGCATGTGATTATACAGTGCAAGATTTCACGTGCATGGTAGATGCTGATTGGCTGAGCGGGATCATCAGACATGAGTAACTCATATGTGGGAAGTGATCCGTGACCAGAAGTGACCTGATTTATTCTCTCTCCTGGGGTGTATGGTTAGACATTAACTATAATTTATATTTTGGTATAAATTGGCTTTTAATTATCATTACTGTCCCTCGCTTACCGGTATATTGCTCGAACAGCGGCTCTTGTCTCCCACAGTGTAGCAGTGATAGTAGAACCAATCAGAACAGCTTCTTTTGGGTGGTCCTTCAGCAAAACCTCCAAGGCAGGAAAGCGAGCTGTCACACCATCCACAAAAAGGATCTCTCACACAATCAGAGCAACTTTCGTACTTTTCGCAGAAGGAATATGTGCAGCCGAGACCCTATAGGAGAAGAGTTCAGAGCCCTTTTAATCAAGGTAACAGTACCCAAAGAAATAAAGTCTAATCTAAGGAAAAATAACATAAAATAAAAAAAATAAAAACAGAAAACCTACCAAATATCCGGGATGGCACTTGCATGCATTAGGACCCATACATTCACCGTTACCAGAGCAGTTGTGCAAGTCGTGGCAGTGAAACCGAGAACAGTCTTCTCCAGTCCAACCAGGATAACAGAAACATATGGCACCTATGCAATCTCCATTATGGAAACAGCCGTTTGGGCAGTGGATGACTACCAGGAAAAAATGAGATTCTTTAAGTATCAGTAGATACCTTGGATAAAATGCTGGAAAACTTTGAACACATCGTATATACTTAGGTACAGTAATGAGCACAATAGGTACGGTGCTAACAATTGAACCAAAAGTCCCTGAAATTTCGGTGGAGAACAAATAAAACAGTAATTTTACGCCGGAAAATCCATGCCAAAATTAAAGACTACCTTAATTTGGAGATTCATTCCATATTTCTGTACAGTCCCACTATTCCTTCCATTTCAGCCTTCTATCATGGTAAACACCACCACTGAAAGCTATTTTATTAATGGTTAGCTCCTGGGTTAGCGCTATTTCATTGAAAACAATATATATATATGTGTGTGTGTGTGTGTGTGTGTGTGTCTGAATTTATGAAAACTGTGTCAAATTTGGGGCAAAACTTTCGCGCCTGCCTGCCTGCGATAGGCGGCAGGGAGGCCTTTGCGGTGCTTGAAAAGCCAGGAGGGCTTCCGTCAAGGAGGGTGGGGGAAGATAGCCCTGGGACCTGGCTACCCGCTGATACCAAGCGAGGCTGCCAGGAGCTAACCCTAGGGGGGTGGGGTGGGTCACAGAGAGAGGCACTTTCCTCAGTTAAAACTG